TAATTACATAAGCAAAATGAGCAACTAACAATGGACAGCAGTAAGCCCTGTAAAAGCCCTGTGAAATGAACGTAGGCATTGGAGCAGGGGTCTTCAAACTTTTTAAACAGGGTTCACTGTCCCTCAGACTGTTGGAGGGCTGGTGGAGAGTGCAGCACACGTTCCACACATGCGCACTGTGGGCCTGGGATGAGTCGGCTGCTAAGCAGGACAGGCAGCGATTGCAAAAACACCTAGTGGGCCGGACTCGGCGGGCCCCATGTGGCCCTCGGGCTGTACTTTGAGGACCCCTGCATTGGAGGCTTGGGGTTGGGCCTACTCAGCTGAGTGACTTTGGGTAAACTATTACCTCTCAGAGCCTCTGTTTCCTTATCTACAAATTGTGACTAATAACACTTTCTCACAGGACTCTAAACACGCCCATGTGTGTAAAGGGTCTTCTTGCAACACTGGCTCTTAATGTTTCCACCAGGAAATGACATAAGACACTGTGCTCACATGTGGTTGGCCAAAGCAAGTCATATCACCACACTTCACTCTAAGGAAGAGCAGTTCTGGCATTCATCTAGAAAGGGGACCAAAAATACTTGGAAAACACTCTAGTCATCACTATTTCTACCACATTCTTTTAAAATAAGTATACTTGGGTTTCATGTTTGAAACCCTTTTTGTGGAATGACTTTTAAGTAGATTATAATCATATCTAATAGTAGAGCTGCTATTTATGGAGTGGCAACGCCCTCTAAAGATGTGGCCCAGGAGGTTGCTGGGGGAGGAAACAACTCCCAGGGAATGGAGTCAAGGGCCACAAAGGATATTGACAACATCCTTACATCCAGGACATCCAGATGTCCTTATGATACCTGTCCAAAGGGATTTCAGAATTGCTATGGATCAAAGACTACCTTATTGCTTTAATTCTCCCTTTTTACTAGTGGAAAAGTTTTGTTTTCTTATTTTGTATTTTGATGTTTCTGTCTCCCCCCACTGTTGTACAGTGTGTGTGTGTACATATGTGTGCACATACATGTGTGTATGCATCTCTGTGTGTTGGGGAAAGGGCAGTGGTTGTGGTGGGGGCAGGTAACCTGTCCTATCGGTGGATAGGGCTCCAGATCAAGGTCTGCTGTGCAGCCTTCTGTGCACCTCACTCTGATGAGACCACCAGGAACCACTCTGAGAGCTTGGACACTGAGCCTGGAGCCAGTGACAAGCAGGACTTTGGGTTTGTCTTGCTTAGGGAAGGGTGGGTATATTTTTCATGTGGGAAGGAAAGTCAAACAAATATCTTTTGACCAGGTGGACAGAATGAGGCGTTCATTAATGTTGTTAATAAAATATATTCAGTTTTTCTTTCAGATATATTATAGATTTCACTTTCCTCCCTGTTGGAGTTAGGTGTGGCCATATGACTTGCTTTGGCCAGTGAATTGCAAATAAAAATGATAGATATCTCTTGTAAGTGGAAGCTTTAAGAGCTTGTGCACAATTTGCCATGTTTTCTTTTTCCTCTTACTAGGTAGCCAGCAATGTGGCTGCTTTGTCTGCTTGGGTCTCAGACTGAGGATAAAGCAGGAAAGAGTCCACTGATTTGCAGTAAATATGAAGGGAGAATTATTTTAGCAACTGGGGCTTGTTGTCATTGCAGCACAATTTATCCTATTCTAACTGATTCAAAGAAATCATCTTAATTCTTTATAAAATCACTTTTTATTTTGTGGGATGGTTTCCCCACTCTGGAAAGTAGAGAGTAGGCTTGTAGCTCAGTAGAAGTTGTAGCTGGCCCTACAGAGATGGGGGCAGTTTTCCATTGCAGGCTCCAAATGTGGTCTCTGAGGGTCTCTAGTAAGAGTCATGGAGAGGTTTATGGTGGGGACATGGTTAGGGCCCTCTTTTCTTATGGGCATTAACCCAGGCTATGTTCCATGATATCCACAGGTAGGTTGTGGTGTCCACTTGGGGCACTGAGCCACACCAGAGGGCCATCACTCTAGCACAACTGTGTCAGTGTTATTGATTCCTATGTAACCCTTGAATCAGTGCCTTGCCATACTAAATAGTCTCATAGAATGTTGTCAGGTGACATAGTCTTCCTTTCCTGATATCCTGGGGAAGCCTGAAACTGAAGAAACTCTCATCATCAAGTTCTATTGCAATGTTTAATGAACATTTTACTATCATGTGACACATGTCAGTAGGTGGCTTCAGCCCTTCTCCTGCCTCATTCATGCTTTATCTCCTTCTTGGGTTTTGAATTGCTAGTGCTGTGAGGCTACAACCTGAACTTCTTTCCATCTTCTTTTGCATGAAGCTGCCCAGAACTCACTCTTTGTCCAACCCAGAGGGGCCGATGTCTCTACTAGGTCACTCTTGGGTCAGTTGGTCTTCTGAAGGCATATTCTTACATTATAGCTCATGTCTCCCCTCAGCCTCCCATGGTGAATGAATGGTCAAAGTCACAAATCTTGGTGATTTTCATAGAATCCATCAATGCAAGGTTGTGTCATGTCTCAAAGTAATAATTTGCTTATTTGGGGAGTATTTTCCTTCCCCTCTGCACTCTTACTGGTGCTTCAAAGCACTCCTACCCTAAGGGGGCTGAAACAAAAACTCCAGCACACCTGACTGAGAGACAGAAAGGTTACGTGCATGATTAGAGAGATGGGTTTTCTGCTTTCAAAGAGATTAGCCTGGGTTTGGAGATTAGGAGAGAGTCAGCAGCACAGGAAGTAAGGAGGGATTCCAAGACCTTCAAGTGGGAAGGCAACAAAGGGTTTCTGTCCTTAGAGACCAGGAAGGGGCCGAGGGCCCAGTTCCCTTGAGAGTAGCTTCCTATAGCCTCATGACCTGTGGACTATCTGCCTTCCATAGCTATGACTGTTCATGTCTTTTGCCCACTTTTTAATGGAGTTGTTTGTTTTTTTCTTGCTGTTTTGTTTCGAGTTCTTTGTAGATTCTGGATATTAGCCCTTTCGTATAGTTTATGAATTCGTATAGCTTATTCGTATAGTTTACAAATATTTTCTCCCATTCTGTAGGTTGTCTATTTGCTATGTTGATTATTTCCTTAGATGTGCAGAAGATTTTTGATTTAATAAAGTTCCATTTATTTATTTTTGTTGTTGCAGTAATTGCCATTGTGGTCTTATTTGTAAATTTTTTGCCTAGGCCGATATCTAGAAGAGTTTTCCCTACATTTTCTTCTAGAATTTTTATGGTTTCATGCCTTACATTTAAGTCTTTTATCCATCTTGAATTAATTTTTTGTAAGTGGTGAGAGACAGGGGTTCTGTTTCATTCTTCTGCATGTGGCTATCCAATTTTCCCAGCACCATTTATTGAATAGCACTTCTTTCCCCAGTGTATATTGTTGTCCGCTTTGTCAAAGATCAGTTGGTTTTATGTAGATAGTTTTATATCTGGGTTTTCTGTTCTTGTTCCATTGGTCTATGTCTCCGTTTTGTGCCTATACCATGCTGTTTTGGCTATAGTTTGAATTCTGGTAATGCGATGCCTCCAGATTTGTTCTTTTGACTTAAGATTGCTTTGTCTATTCAGGCTCTTTTCTGGTTCGAAACAAAGCATGAAATCATTTTTTCTAGATCTGTGAAATATAATATTGGTATTTTGATGGGGATTTCACTGAATCTGTAGATCACTTTGGGTAGCATGGGCATTTTAACAATGTTGATTCTACCAATCTATGAGCATAGAAAAATGGCCAATAAGTATATGAAAAAATCCTCAAAATCACTAATTATCAGGGAGATACAAAGTAAAACTACAATGAGATATCACCTTAGTACTGTAAGAATGGCTTTTTATTAGAAAAAGTCTAAAAACAATAGATACTGGCATGGATGCAGAGAAAATGGAATGCTTATACACTGATGGTGGCACTGCAAATTAGCACAACCTCTATGGAAAACAGTATGGAAATTTCTCAAAGAACTATAAATAGACCTACTATTCAATCCAGCAATCCCACTACTGGGTTTCTACCCAAAGAAAAAGAAGTCATTTTATCAAAAGACACCTGCACTCGAATGTTTATTGCAGTACAATTCATAATTGCAAAGATGTGGAATCAATCCAAGTGCCCATCAATTCATGAGTGGATTAGCAAAATGTGGTATATGTATATTCAGCCATAAAAAGGATGAATGAATGCCTTTTGCAGTGATTTGGAAGGAATTGGAGACCATTATCCTAAGTGAAGTATCTCAAGAATGGCAAAACAAACACCACATGTACTCTCTGATAAACTGGAACTAACTGATGGGCACATATGTGCCCAGAGGGAAGTAAAAGTCATTGGAAATAAAGTGGGGGAAGGGAGGGGAGCAGCAAAAACCTGCCTTGCAGGTACAATGAACACTTTGGGTGATGGGCACACTTATAGTCCTGACTCAAGCTATGTAACAAAAACATTTGTACCCCCATAACATTTTGAAATTATATTAAAAAGGTAAAAGAAAAACAACAACAAATGGCTAGGACTATAGGCAGGCACCACCACATCTGGCTAATTTTTAATTTTTTTTGTAGAGACAGGGTCTTACTATGTTGCCCAGGCTAGACTTGAACTCCTGGCCTCAAGCAATCCTCCTGCCTCAGCCTCCTAAAGTGCTGGGATCACAGGTGTGAGCCATTGTGCCCTGTCTCTAACTGGCAATTTTGATACAAGCTTCTATATTCGACTTTTCCTCTGTACAGCCCCAGTTTGGAACTGGGTAAGATTTCAGAACAATAAAAGACATTGGCAATTGAGAGGTAACCATGAAACTGCTCATGTTGATCTGAAATCAAAATGTGTTCTCAAGTCAAGTGCTTATTATTACATAGGGTTAGTGTGTGGATTAATACTTATACGTCCTGTCTTATTATTAAGAGATAGTAAATTTTTCTGCTTAATTCTCACACCCCTTGCTTTTCCTTCCCCTCTATCAGTATCTTTCATTGACTGTTCACAAACAGGTTAGGGTTCCAGTTAGGATTACCTTGCCAACAAGCGCCGACTGTCAGTTGCATGGCAATGTGAGATGGATGAATAGGCCAATCGTTGGTCACCAGGTATGGTTCATATGTTGCTCCATCCATGTATAAGGTAACCACAGGGAACTCCACGTTGATGACATAGTAATGCCACTCTTTGTCACAAATCTAATAAAAAGGAAGAAGCAATACTTAAAATATGCAATGCAACATAAAACAGGCTTTTATTCTAATTATGAAAAGGGGAGAAAATATTTTTGGGTCAACAATTTTTACTGCAAAGAACTCAAGGAACATAATGGTTTATATACACTGAGGTTATAGAAGTTCATTGTCAAACATATAGGGGCCAACCGTGGGGAAGAGGAACATCCGAGAATCCAATCACCAGGCAGATAATTGACTGTGGGAAGATTATTCAGCCCTACCTTTGTGCACCTGGGAAGGCGGAGAAGAGCTTACAATGGGTCCTACTGGTCTGGACTCAGTGCAGAGCACTGTCACACACATGTTCTCTCACAACCTTTTGTGCCCAAGACTCCCAGTCTCAGGGCTGGAAACCAAAACCTAACCTTCATGGATTGATAGAGATGCTGGGGGGCTAGGGTGGAGTCACAACTCCTGACCTCAAGGAACTGAACTCACATGGAAAGATTCAAAACAAAAACCAAGACTGGCATGTCTTGGGAAGAGAGATGGGAAGCAGGAAAGGTGGGAAGACCAGACCAGGGTCCCGCCCTCTCTCTGATCGCTATGCAAGAGCCCTGGGAGTCAGTGACTCTCTCCTTCACACCACCTCTCGCTCTAATCCCTCGGCGCCCTGCGGTGTCCACCTCTGAGAGGCCTCTCATCTGCATCCTCTTGTCTCCATCGACCCTGCTATCAGTGGCAGGGGAGACAGATGAGTTCCGAATGAAGGTGACCCCAAGGTGAGGGCATCAAAGCCCTCCCTACATCTCACTCTGGATTAAATGTGCTGTTTCTCATGAATAGATAACACCAACAGGGATGCTAAATGATCTTTCTCCTTTCATTTTGAAATAAGAATTTTTTCCTTAATGTTCTTTTTATATTGTCCTGTCTCATGTCTCAGAAAATTGTTCCTTTTGAAGCCCATTAGTCTGATAAAGCCTGATGAATATTTTAGGGGACTTTGGAAGGTAAGCAGGAGGGGTCCAGGCAGATCTCTCCAAAGTCCTGTTACTCTCAGTGAGAGGCCCTGATCTCGTTTACACTCCCCTCCTGCTTGATGCCCTGGACCAGACCCAGGGCTGGGTGCAGGGCTCTCGGGCTAGGCTGTGTCTGGGGTGGGGTGACACCAGGGTGTGGGGGTGACACAAAGGCAGATCTAAAGATAGAGTCTGCGGCTGATGGAGGAGAGGGAACTGTCTGAATGAAGCACCCAATCCAAGGAGGCCAAAGCACCCTGAACTTAGGGTTTGCGATCATGGCTAGCCAGGCAGCAGAGGTAAAATAGAACATGGTTCACATCCTGGGGATACTCCCAGAGCCATCTGGAAACTCTGGCCAGGCCCAGGGTGGGGAGGAAGCAGTAGCAGTGGGGTGACCCTGACCACTCCCCATGCCCTGAAGAACACAGGCAGAGTACCGACAGCCAACCAGGCAGTGCTGCGGGGCTCCCCCATCCTGGCCTCCACCCCCACCCCACGGTGCCCGTCCTCCCCGCATGAGTGGCATGTTGAATCCTCAGGCTTCAGCTGACTCTACAGCACTCCATGTCTGCCGAGGCTGGATGGAGAATAATCCTCTGGCTTTCTTTCATAACACTTAGCATTCTTGTAGGACCATCCAAAAACAATTCTAAGGAAGGAGCAAAATAATTCCATAACTCAACAGCAGCAGTAACCCTTCTCAGTACGACAATTTTTTCCTAGGTGATTTTCCCAGCTCTTCTGTAGTGTGCATCATTGAGCAGTGGCGCCGTGATGCCCTGCGTAGAGACAGTGATCCTGAACGCTGTGCGGAGTCTCATTTTTTTGTGGGGGATTTCCCATTTTCATTAGCATATCCAAGGCTCCCAACAGCCTCAAACTGTAATAACTTTTCAACCTTACTAAAAAAATGGAACTTTTCTATTTGCAGCATTACTATAAACATCCTTGAAATAGCAGCTGGGGAAGATCTATTTGGATCACACTGCATAACAATTTGAAAGTGTGCATGCTTCACTTAATAGCAGCATTTAAAAAATTTTATCACAAATTTTATTTTAAATGGCTGTATAATATGGTTATACTATAATATATTTAAATATTTCCAGATATTATTTATGTATCAGCTATTATTAATGATGTTATAATGAATTTATTGTGCATAAATGTTTGCATATCTGATTATAACATTAGGAAAGATTTCTGGGAATAGGACTACCTGGTCAAAGGTTTGGAGGTATTTTTAAGGCTCTTGATACATAGCATACATTTTCTTTTCTGCAAAAGTTTGTACCTATTTATAATCCTACCCTCAGAGTGTGAGGATATCCATGCATTGTACCCTTGCTACACTGAGTACTAAAAGATAAAAGTAAAATCCTGGTAATTTGAAAGGAGATATATATTTTGTCACATTTTAATATGGCTTACACAGGATGGCAAGATTTGTATTCTGCAAGATCAAAAGGGAAAGCATTCTGGGTGTGGGGAACAGCCTGAGCCAAGAGTCAGAGGTAGGAATGGTTAGGAGCTGCCCCATTGAGCTGCTAACTGGGCATCTGAACAATCTTTTAACCCATGTTAGGCGTACGCCTGCAGACTTCTCCCACCAAGTAATATATGACAGCAGCTAAAGGAAATACCTAATTAGTGTTTCATAAATGTGGATCTATGTTCAGGAAGAGACCCACATTGACCCTCTGCCAGAACTGCAGGGACAAACTGTAATTGAAAAATGATCGAGCCAGGAGGCAGCAAAAATAAATGTGTCGATGCATAGTTCAACCAAGAAAGAAGGAAATTAGGCAAAGTGACCTTTCCTCGGGGAAGAGAAAAACTTTAACTCCTGACTGTTTGTGAATCACCGGTGAAATCTACCGGCCTCAAGCCTGCCTGACACCATGGCTGAGAGGACGCCCAAGGCTTCACCTGGACCAGACACTTCCATCTCTGCCCACCTGCAAGTGTGTTCCCAAGGGGAACAGCTGTAGCTGCTGCTTAGCTGATGAGTGAGTCAGAGGCCAGAAACCCAGGGACAGATGACCAGGAAGGGTAGCAGAGATTCACCAAAGGAGATCTGAGTTAGGGGTAGGCTGGCGTTCCATCGAGAACCAGGGGGCGAGAAAGCCTCCCATGGGATGAGGAGGAGAAAATCAGGTGAGAGATTCTCTGTGTAGCTGCTCACAGGATGATCCAAATGTGCATGTAAGGTTCATATTGGAAGTGTTTTCAGTAAATCTCCTCACTCAGGGAATGGAGAGATTCTTTCCAGCTTGGAGAAGGTGGAATTTAGGGTGGATAATTGAAGGACTGTTAATGTTTCATTAGGAATAGATGGTGAGTAATAAATTCCAAGCAAATGAAGCACAAACCCCTTACTCCTTTATTTATCCATCTATCTTTTCTATTGTCAAAGGTACTAGGTTTGGGGCATTCACTCATTCATTCATGCATTCACTCATTCATTCACTCCTGCACATATTTACTAAATGCACATCCTACTTTGTGAACTAATAAAGCACCTGCCTTTATGAAGCTTATCTTATGGTCTAGTCATGGGATTGACAAAAAAGCTTATGACCGATTGGGATTCATGCCCAGCATAGATTTGTGCAAGGTGCCATGTCAACTCCATGGAGGAAGACGGGGTGTGTGATGCACTGGCAGATGGGAAGGAGCAAAGACACTGAGTTTGGAGGTGAGGCTGCGTTTAGGAAAGGTGAGGAGTGTGAGATAAGGCTGATTTTGAACTGAGGATTGAGGCCTTGGATTGCTTTTATTCTGTAGGCAACGGGAGGTCTGGAGGTTTCTGGGTGGGAGGAGGGGATGGTAGTTGTAACAACAACTGTGGAACGTGCTTTTCCATTTTGAAGCAGCTTTCCATATTCCTCCTTATACTATTTAATCCTTACTGCAACCCTATGAAATAGGAGGACCAATTCTATCCTAGGCACTATTAGAAAGTAAAGGTAAAGAAATGACATGATTTCTTTATCTCAAGGAATTTACAATCTTCTTGGGAGTTAGAGGCAACTATCACACACACCACTGTGGGCTTCCACACTTGGGCTCTGGTGTTTTCATTACACACACAGCTAGTGGCTGAGCTATACACACGTATAGCCACATCAGGATCTTGAGCAGAGCCTTTTCCTCTGAGTGGTGGACTTGCACATCAGATTGTCTCCAGATGGCACCACTTGGATGTTCTATAGGCACTTTGAACTCATTCTTCTAAATACCTCTGATGCTGCAGCCTGACCTGTTCCCTCCCCTGCGACCCTTGTGTCAGTAAACACTCCTTCGTGCCATCTGTCATCCCAGCCAGAACACCAGGCATGGCTTTGGACTCTTTCCCTCCCTCCGGTCATTTTACTGCCAGTTTCTGATGATGCTCATCCACTCTCCACTCTGTACCCTCACTTCTCCGCCACACTTACAATATTTGCTAGGGAGGGGAAGGGATGGATGAAGGGAGACTGACTGAGAAAGTGTTTCCAGGACAGGCTTTTGCAAGGTGGAAAGGATTTGAGCAGGGGGAGAGGAGCATTTGTAGCCGGGGAGTGGGGCGACAGCTTTGGTGTGAGTGTGGCCTAATGGAGTGAGCAGCCCGCTAGTGACCAGCTGCGCTGGGGCTTCAGGCAGCCACAGAATGAGCAGGTTAGGGGAGCAGAAGGAGGGTGCAGGAGGGAGTTGGTGCAGGCTGAGTCTGTGGGTACTGGGTTGGGTATATCATAGCTGCTTCATGGATTTCTGGGGAATCATGTTCTAGACTTTGGGAAAACAACTGAAACTTTCTAATTCTTGGCCACCCATCTGTGAAGTGAGGATAATAGTAGTATCTATTTATAGGCCTGTTGGGTGAATTGAGCAAAGACATATACAGTGTTTAGCACATATATTCGGCCTGATCAGATAGGGGACCACTTTCTTTTTGCAAATATATTGAAATGCTGGATATAATATAGCAACAACAATAATAACAGAAGAAAACAA